TTCATCTAACCCAATTTCTAAACTTGATATAGATAAAAACCAGTAGGTAAAGTCACAGACAGACCTGAGAGGTGGGAACACAAAGCAATCACCAGTCATAGCTGACATTCTTTTTTTTTCTTTGGAGAGGTTTTTGCTATATGTGCTCACCAGAAAGACAGAGAGAGACAGAGAGACAGAAAGCGAGAAATCACTCCCCACAAGGGGGATGGCCACGCTGCAATCCTTTCTCTTCCATTCTTCTCTCGGGATCTTGGGCATGCATACACAAGCGCCTGGCATGAGTTGAAGCCCTGGGGACCAGGACTCGAACCACAGTTGGCTACATGGGAGTTCAGTGACATAGCCATTATGCTAACTGCTGGTCCCATAACTGACATTCTGATAACAGAAAAAAATGAAACCATTTTTTTAAGCAGGTAAAAGCCTGACTAGGCAATCAAAAATGTTTGAATTCCGTTTCCAGCTTTGCCAGCATGAGCTGTGTGATCTTAAGTCCTTTCCTAACTTCTCTGTACTTCGTTTTATGCATCAACATAATGTCGATGAAAATGCTGCCTCTTTGCTAGTCACTGTGAGGAGTATATGAAATAATGCATGCAAAGAGCTTAGCACAAGGTCCGATGACAAGAAGATGCTCAGTAAAATTTATACACTAAAAACAAAGCACACATCTCACAAAGCATAGTAGCCTACATAAATTTACCACACTTTTTCAGAACTGAGAGCATAGAGACCATCTGCAGCGGCACAGAGGTAACATAACAGCATGCAATGCTGAAGCCACATATGAAGGTCTCGAGTTTATTTTTATTTTTTAGAGGTTTTTGCCATAGGGCACATGCACTCACAGAAAAGAGAAACACAGAGGCAGTGAGCGGGAAAGTGAGAAATCACCCCACAGTGGAGTTGGCCACACCGCAATCCTTTCTCCTCCATTCTCCTACTAGGTCCTTGGGCGCACATGTACACACACCCATTGTTAGTTTCAGGCCACTGGGTCTGGGACTTGAACCACAGTCGGCCATATGGGAATCCAACAACGTAACTACTATGCCATCTGCTGGCCCTGAAAGATCCCAAGTTTACGTCCTGAGGTCTCCCTGGCTGTCTGGGGCTGGGAGTAAATCATGCCATGAAGACTCTATTGGGGGTGTCTCTCTTTCTCACTCTCTGTCTCTCTCTCTCCTCTCTCATTCACAAAAAAATTAATATGCTAAAAATAGAAATAAAAAGACCCTGAGAGTATGAAGAGCATCCTTATAGTTTAATAGAGAAATATTATCTTGGCTGGAGCCAGCAGGTGGCATGGTGCTTAAGTCGTTGGACATTCCCACATGGCTGACCACAGTTTGAGTCCCTGACCAGGCAGCTTGCTTCTTCACATTCTCTCTCTCACTCACTCTGTGTGTGTGTGTGTGTGTGTGTCTGTTCAAATTAAAAGAAATGAATTAATAAATAAAATTAAATAAATAATTATAAAAAATAAAAGAAATACTATCTTGGCTGTACCATGTGCTTTGCCACGTGTCTTTTTACTTTTCTAAGTCACAGAATTAGATCAGGTCATGTATTCTCAATGGAGATGACATACGGTCCTTTGCCAGTATGTGTTTGCAGGGAGAGTGTTAAACATTTACTGTTTTTATGTCTGAAGAACAATTACACAGTACAAAAACAGAGTATATCATAACATTAAAATTTCATGAGGAGAGGAGCCAGCAGGTGGTGTGGTGGTGGTTAAAGTGCTGGATCCCCACATGGCAGGTATAGTTTAAGCCCAAAACTTCAGCTAGATAATCATATGAGGCAATACCTGCATGTGCTCAAAATCCTCAGAGGAGAATGGAAGAAAGGGACTGTAGTGTGACCATACCCCTTGGGGGTGATTTCGCACTTTCCCTCTCTCCGTCTGTCTCTGGAGAACACATGTGCCCTGTGGCAGAAACCTAAAAGAAAAAAAAAATCCTGAGGAGTCCACAAAGGCTCCTTACGGAAGTAATGATGAGAAAAGGTTGAGAAACACTGAACCGTAAAGGCATTTAACAGTTCTTCAATTTTCTTAATTGTATCTTTGCAATAGTAATGTCAAGATTTTTAAAAATTTAATATATATTCACATATTGTGTTTTAGGAGCTAAGGAAAGCACTCCCTCTCTCTCTTTATGTATTTACACACACACACACACACACACATATATATATACATATACATATATATTCCAGGAAGATGTATATTTAGAACAGTTACAAATTTTAAGTGTCATTGGGTTTAAAGGGAAAAAAAAAAAGAATCACAATACAAGTTGACCCTTAAACAACACAGGTTAGGGATGCCAATCCCCACACAGTGAAAAATCCACATGCAACTTTTCACACCCTAAAAACTTAACTACTAATAGCCTCCTCCTGACCAGAAAAGCTTACTGATAATTCAAATAGCTGGCTGACACATACTTTGTGTGTTATATGTAGTACATACTTTATTCTTACAATAAAATAATTTATTAAGAATATCATGAGAAAATACATCTATAATATTTCTGCAAAAAAATCTGCAAATCAGTAGACCTGTGTAGCTCAAACCCATGATATTTGAGGGTCAACTATATATGGAACTTGCAGCTGTCAGGGCAGCCAGGGAAATGGTGATTAAGGTGGCTGTATCCCACATAGCTGACTGTGCGGTTCGAGTCCTAGAACCCACAGCTTAAAAAGCATGACAGGTGTGTGTGTGTGCATGCCCAAAATCTCAACAGGAGGGAAAAATGAAGAAGGGATTGCAGGGAGCCCATCTTCCATGGGAGTGCTTTCTCACTTTCCTCCTCTCTCTCTCTCTCTGTCTCCTGCAAGCAAACACACCAAGTAGGGGTGGGGGGAAAGAGAGAGAGAGAGAGAAGAAAAACAAAAACCACAAAACCCTAACTGTCATTCATGAACGGATTCTATGAGGCACAGTTTTCTTGTATTTTTCTCCTTGCTTTATAGATCACAATATATCTAAATACTGTTTAATTATTAATGGAATTACTTATTTCTCCCCAAAGTGCAGAAAAGAGAACAAGGACAACTACCTGTAACTACAATAAATTGGGACTCTCTGGTCGTCTTAGCTATGACCAATTAAAGATCAGTACTTGGGACCAGCAGTTAGCGTAATGGCTATGTCGCTGGACTCCCATGAAGTCAACTGCGGTTCACGTCCCGGACCCGGTGGCTTAAAACTCATGCCGGGCGCGTGTGCATGCGTGCCCAGGATCCTGAGAAGAGAACGGAGGAGAAGGGATTGCGGCGTGGCCATCCCCCCTGGGGGGTGATTTCTCGCTTTCTGTCTCTATGTCTCTCTCTGTCTGGCGAGTGCACGTGCCCTACAGTGAATGCCTTTCCAAAAAAAAAAAAAAAAAAGTACTTGGAATATAATTCATTTTAATTGTCTCTTCCATCTAATCTAATTACTGCTGTAGGCTGTCTTAAAATATTTACAAAGTAAAAGCAAAAAAAAAAAAAAGGATTAGAGGTGCTAAATAAAGCAGGTCACTTATTCCAAAGTGATCAATCATTCTGTTATTGTTTACAACATAAACAAAGTCATAACTCTCAACATGGAATTTTTGGAAACACAGATAATGTTTAAGAACCATCTCTCTCAGTGTTAAAGCTGCTTTTAATTCTTCTTTGCTGGTTGAAATCTTTACTACATCCAAATAATCCATTACTGTAAGAGGGAAAAGCTGTACTAAAATGCTGGCTATTCTACTTGCTAACCCAGTCTTATTATCTCCAAGATCCTAGGATATTGAGCAACACAATCAACTTCATATACTGCTTTTATACTGCTCCGAGTTTTCAAAACTGCTTTAGAAATTCTAACTAAATACAGCGTTCTGGAAATGTACACAACTCCCTTTTATCTGTTCTTAAACATTTTCCTGTACTTTACTACCAGAAATACATGTATTATTAAGTGACCTAATATTATCTATTTTATTCAAGTGTGATCTAATATTATCCATTTTATTCACTGCAAAATACTGAATAAATGTATCTTGATACCAAATTAGATTTCAAGCAGTTTATTTGAATAAGGACACATGTGAAACTATCATTTCTCATAGACACAGGCATTCCCAACACGATGCATAAACACTTTTTTTAAAAGAATTATTCATTTATTTTTTTATCTATTCATTCATTTATTTTTGTTTAACCAGAAAGAGACACAGAGAAAGAGAAAGAGAGAGTGGGAAAGTGAGAAAGCAAGCCACCAGGTCCGAGACTCGAACTGTGGTCAGTCATATGGGAGTGTTGAGTGCCCTAACCACCTTGCCACCTGCTGATCCTCAAGTAAATACTTTTTAAACTGATGACTATAAATATACAGTCTTCAAGAGATGCTAACCACTATTTATAGTTCCTCAAACCTTAGGTGTTCAAGTGACAGAAGTCTCTTCTAAACACTTTGTGCTATTTTAGGCTATTCCAAATATATTGACTAGATAGAATAATGGAGAAAAAAATAAGTTAGCTTGAAATTCTAAACACTCATAGACTATGTTCAGGGTCTAATGTTGTCTCCACGTGTGCCTAATCCTCAGCTGCGATTGTCCCCACCAAATGGCACATTATTATAATTATCATTAGGGAAATATTTCCCTGATGCACCTGTAAATACATCTGTTCCACCTCATCAGAATACTACAAAATGTGTTTTAGATAACACCATGAAGCATGAGGACATCAGAACACATAAAATGATCACTGGCCAGGTTTAGACTTATTCAAGGAAAAGCTCCATTGTAAAAATTCAAGTAGACATCATACAAACATGCATTCTGCACTAAGCGGAGTAATACTAACTTGGCACATTACAGTATAAAAACAGGGAAAAATAGAATTCACTTTCGGTAATCATATATTTGGCACGTTTCCATGGGAAAGCCCAAGCAATCAGATTCTCAACCTGACAATACACATTTATCTGTCGGGGCCTTAAGAGTTACCTTTGTTTTAGATTGATCCAGGATGACTTTAAGTACTCAGTGGTCTCCTTGACATTCCTTGTATCATCATTAGCATACTCCTCCAGCAGTTTCTGCAGGACATTATCGAAGGCCATGACGACGCCATCACCAGGACCCAGTTCTTGAAGCAAGATCTACGGTGTAATTTCAGGTATAACTATTAGACTTGACCACTCAGTCACTAGTATTACTAAAAACTACTCCTCTCAGGCTGTTTTTTTTGTTTGTTTGTTTTTTGGGGGGAGAGGTTTTTCTATAGGGTGTGTGCACTCTTCAGAAAGACAGAGAGAGACAGAGAGATAGAAAGCGAGAAATCACCCCCCGGGGGATGGCCACATCACAATCCCTTCTCCTCCATTCTCCTCTCAGGATCTTGGGCACACACGCACACATGCCCGGCGTGAGTTTAAGCCACCAGGTCTGGGATTCAAACTGTGGTTGACTACATGGCAGTCCATTGACTTAGCCATTACACCAACTGCTGATTCCCTCTCAGAGGGTTTTAATGGTTTAGGTACCAGTCTTCCATGGCTGGTATTTCATTCATGGTCAACAGTGTGTTTCTCATTCCCTCTGCAGTCCAATAATCATATGCCTCTCTGTATTCAGGCTGTAACCACCACACCATGAAGTGTGTGCTCCCAGAGTGGAGAACGGGTGTGAGCCAAGTTCCTGGTGACCCAAAAGTCCAGTCTCAACAGCCCTGAAATCACAGCATAACTGATATTGGGCAGGCGCATTGTTTTTCATTGTTTTGTTCAAACTCTGTTAAGGGGTTTAATCCTGTTTGTAACAAATTTCTGATTTGACTGATTTTAAGAAAAAGAATAAAATGTTTCTTCATGTGTTAGATTGTGTCCCACAGAGTTGTTAGTATATTTTTCACAAATGGATGCTTCCACCTTAGGCAAGGTGAAAGGACAAACAAATGTTAAATCAGAATATAACTTCACAACCACAACCTCTCATTCAAGAATATATTTTCTATGATTATATAGAGAAATCAAAATAACATGTTAAAAATATCGTAAGTATTCAATACTATCAACTCTATAATCAAACTGATCACAGAAAAAGGTACTATAATGATAATGACAGGACAGTTTGGTTTTAAAGGTATGAAAAGAAACTAACTTACTTACTACCTGATTTGTTCACTATAGTAGCCCTCGAAAGAAAGTCTTAGGAAGCTTTGTAAATAAATATAATTTTTTTTGGAGAGGTTTTTTGCTATAGGGTGTGTGTGCTCACCAGAAAGACAGAGAGAGACAGACAGAAAGCGAGAAATCACCCCCCAGAAGGGATGACCACGCCACAGAGCTTTCTCCTTCATTCTCCTCTCGGGATCTTAGGCACGTGCACACATGCTCCCGGCGTGAGTTTAAGCCACCGGGTCCGGGACTCGAACCGCAGTCGATTACGTGGAAGTCCAACGTTTCTTCCTATACGTTTCAATATGCTTTCGAAGAACTCATAAAAATATCATGACAAGGCCCTAAAATTACAGCAAATGATAGAAAAGAGTGCACTCAAGAAAATGACACTGCCCAGAATAATCTAATGAGTTTTACCTGATTATCAGAAATCTGTTTGACAAGTGGATCCCGGCGAGCTTGCTGCAGGATGTACAGTCGGGCCTCGTATTTCCTCATCAGCTCCTCCGTCTCTTCCCTGTGGTCGTCCCACTGAAGACTGTCAATAATCATGTCCTCGAGCTGCTGCTGCCGTGACTCCACGCCATGCTGAGTGCTGTCCCACTGGCTCCTCACCTTTTCCACTGGGGGAGGAGTTATTTTGAAAAATCAAAATAGTGACTATCAGGTAATAGAAAAAATACCTAATCCCAAATATATCATACGTATGTATAGAAAAGAGAAAGGAAGCAGGTTGATAAATAGATTTTAGAAGAATTTTCATGTGTGTCTGTCATGCTATATAACTGACATATTTCTGATTCCACTCCTGGGGAATAAAAATCTTGGATCAAATTCTATTTTAAATGCACTAAAACATCTCACAATAAAAAAATCTACTAAAGGGGCCAGCAGGTGGCATAGTGGTTAGACACTGGACTCCTACATGGCCGACCACAGTTCAAATCCCAGACCTGTCAGCTTGAAAATCGTGCCAGGTATGTGTGTGTGCATGCCCAAAATCCTGGCAGGAGAATAGAGTAGAAAGGATTGGAGTGTGGCCATTCCTCTCAGGGGGTGATTTCTCACTTTCCCTATCACTGTCTCTCTCTGTAAGTGCATGCTCCCTATGGCAAAACCTTAAAAAAATCTATTTGGGGCCAGCGGATGGCACAGTAGTTACATCACTGGATTCTCACATGCCCAGTCAGTTTGATTCCCAGGCCTGGTGGCTTGAAAATCATGCCAGGCATGTGTGTGCAATCCCAAAATCCTAACAGGAGAATGGAGGAGAAGGGATGCAGTGTGACCATCCCCCTTGGGGGGGGGGTAATTTCTCACTTTCCTTCTCACTCTCTCTCTCTCTCTCTCTCTTTCTCTCCAGCAATCATACATGCCCTATATCAAAAACATCTTTTAAAAAATTACTATGATAAACAACAAGGAGTTATAAAGTAAATAATTTCCTACTTAGTGTTGTACAAATAGAACCACGTCTGAGGAAGGTAGTGTTTAAGGTGCTTTTTGGCAGATCTTTAAGACAGAAATATAGTCACTTGTTTCCTCACAGAAGATTCTCTAAGGTTGCTTTGATTTGAAAACAAAGCAAATTGTTTAAAAATACTGTCTGCATTGGTTTTATTATAGTATTAAATCTCTCTAAAAAGAAGCATTTTTATGTTCAAGTTCAAGGGAAACACTAAGAGTAAAGCATATTCAAGTTCATACAAATTCCCCATTGGCTCTTTGCCTTCCTCTCTTTTCACTGTTTCCCGCTATTCCTTTGTTCTCAGTCTCACTTTCTGTTTCTTTCTCAGTTGCTATGCTCTTTCATCCCCTTTTCTCCTGTCTTCTTCCTTCCTCTTGTCAGTTTTCTATTTTTTTAAGTTTATTGTACTTCTTTCTTTCATGAGAGAAAGAGAGAGGTAGCCCTCCCCCAAATTTCCCCATCCTATGACCCTCCCTCCAGCCTCCCAGACAGCCAAAATCACAGGTACATGTGTGCATACCTGGTGTGTTCAGGTCAACCCAGGAGCCAAACCCCGGCCTCCCATGTGGCTCCAGAACCGTGCAGTAGCACTCTCTATACTACCTGCACTAGTACAGCTGGGCCTTCCCTACTTTTCACATGAAGAGATCTAAGAAGGGGGCCAGCAGGTGGCATGGTAGTTAAGGTGCTGGATTCCCACACTGCCAACCATGATTCAAGTCCCAAACTTGGCAGCTTGAAAATTACACCAGGCATATGTGCAAACATGCCCAAAATCCCAGGAGGAGAATGGAGGAGAAGGGATTGTAGCGTGACCATCCTTCCTGGGGGTGATTTCTCACTTTCTTTCTCTCTGTCTCTCTCTCTCCATTGAGTCCACATGCTCTACAGCAAAAAGCTAAATAAAAAGAAAGGAAGGAAGAAAGGAAGGAAGGGGACTAAAAGGAACTTTAAAGGAAGGAAGGAGACTTAAGAAAACTTAACTTTTCATTCATTACTTCAGGGGAAATTCATGATCTTGAACTGAAGCACCAGTAAACAATGACTTTGAATAACTGCAATAGCTCACTAGTAATTAGGCAGAAGGCTAAAAACAAACCACTAGAGGGAAAACTGGTGACACAGTGAAAACAAAATATTCTGTGATGCCAAGACCATATGGGAGCGTTCTGGATTGGCATCCCTAGGTCACCCTGGGCACATCAAGCACACTCACACTTGTGACTCTGGCTAGCTGAGGCCGGGGGTGGATTGCAGAGTCCTCTCTCTCAGGAATCCTCTCTTTCTGTGGGTGTGTCTCTCTCATGGAATAAATAAACTTTTTTTTCCAATATTTTTGTTTTGCTTTGTTTTGTTTTGTTTTGTTTTGTTTTTGCCATAGGGCAAGTATGCTCACCAGAGAAAGAGAGTAAGGGACAGTGAGAAATCAGCCCCCAAGGAGGATGGTCCCACAGCAATCCCTTCTCCACTCTCCTCTCAGGATTCTGGGTACACACAAATGCCCAGAGTATTTTTCAAGTCACCAGGTCTGGGACTCAAATAGTGGAATCAGATATGTGGGATTCAATACCTTAACCACCATGCCACCTGCTGGCCCAAATAAACTTTTCATTGAAAAAACCTATAGAAGATGCTTAGGATATCAGATAGACTGAAGGGCTATAGTTAAGTAGCATTCCCCCAAATAACTCAACTTCAAGATACCATTCCAATAAAATTACAATGAAATATTTGGATAAGATTCTTGCAATAATATAATGTTATAGTAAGCTAAGACATTATCAACTTAATATCTTTCAAAAAGCTGTGTTATACTTAAGTGCAAAAATTCCAAAAAAGTAGTTCAATGATATTATCTATTTTATGCTGCCTTGCTTAACCATTTAAATAAATAACTTGTTTTAACTCGAAGATAGAAAGGACAAATCTCTCATGATATTCTCATCGGTTAAAAAGTTACATAAAATATTTATGACCAATTTTATTGCTAATAAGATTCTCCAGTGTTCATCAAATAAAATGAAAGATATTAAACAGCAGTAAATATCACAGGCTTACCATTAAAAATAGACAAATTATCTTGTTCATTGTGAATAAGTGCTAAAAACAGTTTACTATTGGTAGTACACTCCAGCTGAGCTCTTTAAATATATTGAATAATGATGAAGCCTATGCAGCCTACACACACACACACACACACATACACACAATGCAAAGAAAACAGAGACAGCATTGAATGGGAAAAATAAGATAATCAGGAGAAGGAAAGTCTTATTAAAAAAAAAAAAACACTTTTAAAAAGTTTTGGACTGAGAAGTGATGGAAGGAAACATCACATGGGTTAGCCCTGTGGCCTGGTGGATTCCACATAGTTGACTCTGAGGATTGAGATCTGGACCAGTAGCCTGAGAGACATTCCAGGCACATGCACGTGTATGTCCAAAGTCATAGAAGCAGTAAGATGTGGAGGAGAAGGGACTGCAGCATGACCATTCCCCTTGAAGGTGTGCCTTCTCCTTTCCTGCTCTCTTATTCTCTTGTTGTTGAATGTATGTACCCTCTATCAAAAAAGGTGTTAAAAAAAGGAAGCCTCAACTGATGAAAGCAGTAAAGCGAAGATGGCTTTGTAAATAGCTTGGCTTCTTTAAAGCAGACGTGTGCCTGCCAGGTGAGAGGAAAGAGGACCACTTCCAAATTCCGTATTAGGTACAACCAGTTAATGACAAGAAGGAAAATGGCTTTTTAGTAAAAATAAGCCAATAATGTCAGACATAAAGAGATAGGTTCAAACTAGGTTATTAAGATACGTTAAAATGCTTTCTTTTCTGGGGCCAGCAGGTGGCATGGTGGTAAAGACTACTGGATCCCACATGGACAACTCTGCAGTTTGAGTCCTGGACCCAGCAGCCTGGAAAACACAGTAGGCTCATATATGTGCATGTCCAAAATCCTGAAAAGAGAATGGAGGCGAGGTGATTGCAGCGTGGCCATCCTTCTCCCAACACCCAAGGGGAGTCTCACTTTTCCTCTGTCTTTCTATGGCAAGTGCACATGCTCTGTGGCAAAAATTAAAAAAAAAAAGAAAAAATTGCTAACTCATCTCCCATAATACCCTTAATGCTACCACATTTATTTTGAAACCAACACACACTTTTTGCAGGGGGAATAGTCGACATTTTTCCTTAAGAAAAGTCTGACGTTTTCTTCCAGTTTATATTTGGCCTCAAATATTTATTAAGTACCAAATGTGTACTGGGTATTGTGGGAGGCCCAAGGGCCAGAAAGGTGAAGATCCACTACCTGTGGAGGGCAAGAGCATGAAAATATTATGATGTTGACAATGAAGGATGGGAGGGAAGGCCATAGCAAGAGCTAAAGCCAGAAAATGCAGTTCACCAGGGACCAGAAGGGGGGGGAAGACTTCACAAAGCAGGTGACATTTTAGCTGCTGAGTAGAATTTCACCTGGGGAGAAAAGGCTAAGGGGGCGGGGGGAATGCAGTGAATAAGAGTGCGGAGACCAAGAAATGTCAGGACGTTTTAAAGAAGATACACAGTACAGAATCATTACACATGAGGTCGAGGGCTGTAGTGACAGAGGGGACGATAAGAGCAAACTGTGACAGTCACCAGATGTCATCCTTGACAATTTAGACTGTGTTTTGTATGCCATGGAGATTTAACAGAGGCGTCAGAGCTAAACCTCAAACTCCAAAAGCGATCTTTGTTGTTGCTTTCTCTGTTTGTTTTTGGTCTTAATTTGTTTGTTTGTTTGTTTGTTTTTTGTAGAGGTTTTTGCTTTAGGGCACGTGCACCCAGACAGACAGAGACAGACAGAGAGATAAAAAGTGAAAAATCCACCCCCAAGGGGGGATGGTCACACCGCAATCCCTTCTCCTCCACTCTCCTCTCGCGATCTTGGGCACGCATGCACACGTGCCCGGCGTGAGTTTAAGCCACAGGGTCCAGGACGCGAACCACGGTCAACTATGTGGGAGTTCAGCAACATAGCCATTACGCTAACTGCTGGTCCCCCGGTCTTAATTTGTTTTTAACTAAAGTATTCCCAAGTTAGTGCGAGTCACCTAGGCACAGAGTTGCTCATTACATGTTTGTGGATTAAATTTTGGGAAGGTGAGTTAAAATACCTGGTTTTAGTGAATAAAACATAACTGGAGGATTTATTTAATTCCATAAGGGTTCCTTTATTTTTTGTTATTGCTTTTATTTCCTTTAAAATAAATTCTGAGCTAAGAGAAAAAATACTAATGTGTAAGTAATTACTTAAAAATAATTATGTTAATACTTTAAAGAATTCACTGGCAGTTGTAAAAATATCCAAAAAAAGTAATAAAAGCTATTGAGTTTTTGAATAGAAAAATACGTCATGACTTTTCCAAAGATCCTAATATATCTCTTCATCTAAAAAGTGTATCAAACATTAAATACATTATTTTCTAGCTGAATAGTGTTTTTTTTAAGAATTATTTAATTTCATTATTTTTTATTTATTTGCTATCACCAGAGAAGGCGGGGGAGAGCGAGAGAGAGAAAGTAAGGATGCAAGCCTCCAGGTCCAGGACTCAAACTATGATCAGCTATGCGGGAGTCCAGCACCTCAACCACCATGCCATCTGCTGGACCCTGAATAGCATTTTTTCAAGTTTTTATTAATTTATTTCTTCTGAGAGAGACAGAGACAGGTATCTGAACAACCAGTCCAGCATGTACAGGGAAGCCTCAAAACACAAACCCAGGAACTGCCCGTGCGGGTTTAGCACTGAGATCATGTATCTGTATGTGGTATATGTGTGTGTTACCATTTGCTGGGAAAGTGGATGATCGTACATACTTTTTTTGTTCTCACAAAACTTACACTTTTCTGTGATTGCTGTTCTCACATCTGAACTGGAAGCTTTGTTTTTCAAATTCTGTGCCAAAGTGAAAACATAATCAAGCTGGGGATGGCGCTGTTCTAAGTCGGCCTTCGTGATCTGTTAAGAAGTAAGTATTAACAGAGGTGAATCAGCCATACAATAGAAATATTTCACTAACTAAACAAAACAGGTGTGTGAACATCAACGCTGTTTTCCCCCGCTAGGGCATAACAAGGCATCAGTGACGTGGTAGAGAAAGAACCGTGATCAGAGTCAGAGATCTTGGCTCAACTCTTAGCTCTTTCACTTACCTCCTGGGTTACCAGATAAAGCACTAAACTTCTCTGGGTTTTATCAACAGTTTTCACAAAAAGAAATAATAAAGCATTCATGGCTCAGTTATATCAAGCCTTAGTAAGCTAAGAAACTCCTTTTGAAATTAAAAAAAAAAAAAAACCCTGGACACATTAGCAGTTATTGCTACTGCTAATGCCTTGCATATCTGCTCCACAACAGAAATAGACACAAACCGATGTCACCGGTAGGAATGGGAGGGGCATAGTGCGAAGGTTCTAACTGGGTTCACTGAAATTTAGTCCTATTAGATGAAAAAGCTGTTGTTCTACATATAGTATAAAGCTCTTGTTACTCATAAACACAGAAGAAACAGTAGCAATGCCAGGAAATGGGTGTTTTACCTACCGAACTAATACATAGTCATAAAGGCTTCTTGTAGTAATAAAAAATGCAATTATAGTTAAGTGCAAATAGTGGCAAAAGATTCTCCCAACCCTTCCTCTTTATAGCTAATTTTGTCAACTGTAGGTACACCTGTCATATCATAGATCATTTTTAAAGGGGCCACTCACAACTTCTGATTCTGAACCCCAAAGCACATTAAGGTCAATACCAATCACATCCTTCTAAATGGCAGAAGGGCTCCTCAACGCACACAGCATATTCAAAACTGAATCACTCAAACCCTCATTCACACTCCGTTTTTTCTATTCCTTATTTCTGCTAATTGCAATAGCATCATCTTAGCTATTCAGAAAGGGCTCTTTTCATTGATTTAAGCATCTCTTGCCTCCAATCCATCTTCATCTTCTTAAGAAAGCTGAGCACTGATATCAGGTCCCAGCTGCAATTTAACAAAAGAAAGGAACTGGGAAAAAAGATGCTTGCCAATCTCTTACAGACTGAGAGTCCAAGAGGCTTTGTATGACCTGTAGGTTCCTTCACAAAGTGACCTGAAACTGTCTTTCCTATTTGACTTCAAACTATATTTTTTAAAAAAGTTTACTTATTTTTTCATTCATTCATTCAATAAGCAAGAGAAAGATACAGAGGGAGAGACGGTACCCTCAAAAGGCTCTTGAAACTGCAATCTCCCCCAGCCTTTGGCCAGCCCCAAATCATGAGTAAATATGCCCAACATACAGAAGGAAGTCTCTGAACTGGAACGAGAGCACCTTCCCACATGGGATTGCCTCGCAGATGGTCACATTCTACTGCTGCACCACTGGCTATCCCCTCCCACTGTTTTCTCATTGCAAAAATGTTGGCCTCATACTCCTGACTCTGCCTCACCTCTTGTATCTTAATGTCCAGATGCCAAAATCCCACATAGTCTGCTACCTGTTACGGTAGAAGTCATCCCTTCCTTGCCTCAACTCTCCTAACCAGGCTCGTACCTGTCTTGGCCTTTATTAGACTCTGCCTTCCATATATGTCTATTAACATGCACTCAGCACCGCTCCCTCAGTTGGGGTTTATTCATAATGTGAGGATAAAAACAATCCCTACGTCCCAAGATTGATACAGAAGTGAGTGAGATAATAAAATGTAAAATACTTGGGAAAATGCCCAGCACACATTAAACACTATTGAAAGTTAGCAGTAGTTGTTATTATTTTATTGTACTTTCCCAATTTCTATCTGTGAGATTCTTTTCAGCATCTTCAAACAACACATACTTCAGAACCTTGTACATGTTAAGTATAGAAAAAGAACTTTGCAGACTGATATAAAATGGCACATGTATAGTAACAAAATTATACCCAGGAGTCTCTCACTTCTAAAGTGAGAAATTAGACAGGCTCACATGAATTATAAATTGAAAAGAAGCTTTAAGAAAGTATCCTGTATCAAACGAGGCATTCGGTGTAACATCAGTTTACATTTAAATTAACATTCCAAGCCTTATGGTATCATTTTAGATTTTTAAAATGCATTGAGTTTAATTCAGTAAAGCTCTGATCTTATCCTAATGGTACAAATGTCAAATGCAAGCTTTTCTTGTTGGAGTTAGCCCCAGATGAATATTTGACAGTGGGAGAATTTTTAGACCTCATTCTCTCACAGGTTACAATAAACAAAGGAAACGCAAATAGATCCTGTCTGCCTCAGCGTTGTAGTATTTCCAGGACAAGTATTAACACCATGCACCTACTTTCATTCGGGAAACTGTCTTTTTGATCTCTTCTACATCCCCAACAGTGACAATGTTGGACTTCAGCATCTGGTCGATCAATACCAGCCAGTCGGCGAGCTCTGTTATAGTTTTATCCAGATCAGCAGGGACAGCAATTTCTGACGTGCGATGAGACTGAACAGGAATATCTGACATAGATGATACTAGCACCACCTTTTGGACGCCAGGATGAGCTGAAATAAAAAATGTTGCAAAACAGGAAGAAATCAACAGGCTATTTTGATTATGGTGGTGAATGGTGGTATGTATATGTGTATTTTGGGAGAACTTAGTGTAAGTGAAAGAACTCCAATAGGTTTTAATGTTTTCATACTGCAAGAGTATGAAATCTATCATTCCTACAGAGATTTCTATGACTTTGATAGCCATAACATTCTAATCGCACAACATTCTAGAGGACCAATAACTCAGATGTAATCAACAGTGACACTTAAGAGGAAATAAAATAAGAAATATGTCAATTATGAGAAAATCAGAATTGTTTTATTTTGTCAAGGTGTATTTGGCCTTAATTATAAAGCCGACTTATTCATAATGTTCTATTCTTTTTTCATATCCTTATAAAATGAACACATTTCATTCTTTCTCGATATCATTGTAAATTACCTACATAACAGTCTATAAATATATTCGCTAATATATTGGGTTGTCAGGAAAGTCATGCATTTTTGCATAGAAAATTACATCATGACTTTCTTGATGATCTAATATTTATACCATTACCATAAGAAACTATATTTTCTGAAACAAACAATTTAAAAATTAGCACTGCTTTACATGTGAAATCATGACAGATCAAATGCAGAAGCAGATATGAAAATCTAGTAGTCTTCGATTAAGCCAAACTTTAAAAAAAAAAATTTTCCGGTTTTGCTATAGGGTGCATGTGCTCACCAGAGACAGAGAGAAAAAGAGAGCAAAAGTGAGAAATCACCACACACACACACACACACACACACACACACACACACACCTCTGGCAGGGCTGACTACACCGCAATCCCATCTCGACTCTCCTCTCTTGGGATTTTGGACACATACATTCCTATGCCTTGTGTGACTTTCAAGTCACCAAGTCCAGGACTCAAACTACACAGTCGGCCATGTGAGATCTAGCCAGCTTAACCACCACTCCACCTGACTGACCCTAAGCCAGATATTCTTTAAGAAATTTTGAAAAATGCAAAACAATGTCATTTTATTTATTTTTTTTACATTTTTTGATGTAAATGATATACAGCAATGTCACTTTTCTAACATGTTACTTTCGTTAACATTATGAATTTATTATTGTTATTTTAAAATAAATTAATAAATTATTTTGAACTTTTTTCCAATTAGGTAAATATTGATAGATATAATTTACATCAGCAAAAGCTCTTTGGGAAACTTCAGTGATTGTGAAAGGGTCCTGAGAACAAAATGTTGGGGCCACAATAACAATGTAGAACAAGAACACACACAGCCAGCAGGAACACGAACTGGACCAAGCAGGCTAGATAGCACTGAAGCAGTGCTTAGTGAAATAGAAGGCACCTGGGTCCTACACCCCAGAGATCCCACTTCTAGGTATATACCCTGAAGAAATTCACACATCTTTCTGGTCAGTCTAAAATATAGCTTTCTTGGGACCAGTAGATGGCATAATGGTTATGTCACTGGACTCCCATGTAGTCTTCCACAGTTTGAATCTCAGATCTGGAGGCTTAAACTCATGCCAGGCGTGTGTGCATGTGTGCCCAAGATCCTGAGAGAAGAATGGAGGAGAAGAGATTGCGGCGTGGCCATCACCCCTGGAGGGTGATTTCTAGCTTTCTGTCTTTCTATCTCTCTCTTTCTGGTGAGCACATGTGCCCTATAGCAAAAACCTCTCCAAAAAATAAAAAATAAATAAAAAATAAAATAAATAAAATATAGCTTTCTTTGTATTATTTCAAAAATGCATTGTTTCAGGCCAGCCCATGGCATAGTGATTGGATCAGACAGATCCCACAGGGACAGCTGCAAGGTCATGGCTTGACAGACATGCTAGACGTGCATACATGGATGTGTATATGCATGTACCCAGAATTCCTAAAGTAGAACAGTGGAGAGGAGAATGCAGAGTGGCCATCCCTCTGGGGGATGCTTTCTCACTTTCCTTCTCTCTATCTCTCCAGCAAGCATATGCACCTTAAGGCAAATGTTTTAAATTCATTGTTTCAATTCACTAGATACTTATTTTGACCTACTGCGTGCAAGGTACTGTTCTATCAAAGATGCTGTGGGCATGAGAGTGTGCAAGACAAAGCCAGTGCACTTGCATTCCAATGGAGGAGATGGAAATAGATGATGTCTTCAAAAAGTTTATGAAAAATGCCTATTATGAAAAAACTACATGGATTTCAAAAAATGTTTACACGAAAATAAACTCCTACTTCAATTCCTTTTTTCCACAAGCTTTTAGAAGTCTTCTCATATGTCAGGAAGTAAAACCAATGTCAAAAGACAGAGAGAGTCAGCATGCATCTGAGTTACGGTGGGCAGGAAAAGTCCATATGAAAAAGTATGATATTTGAGGGGAGAATTGGAAGGATGTGAGTGTGTGAAACCTGCAAATATCTTAAGGAAAGGCATCTGTGGAAGAAAAAAGAACAGTAAGCTTAAGGACTAGACTGAAAATGCTCTCGGCATGTTTGAAACAGCAAGAAAACCAGAACAAACAAAAAGAAAAGTAGTAAGAAGTAAGATTACAGAGACCGGCAGCAGGCAGACTGCACATGGTCTTCTGGACCATGGGTGACCTTGGAATTCACTTATGTGGATGAGAGTGATTTAAAAATTGTGAGAAAAAGCAACGCAAACAAAATTATGTTATAAAGCATCCCTGTAGCTGGTATCAGAAGAACAGATTATGGAGGGATGATAAGGTAAGAATAGAGTCAGGATGATGAAAAATGCGGATGCTCGAGACCAGAGAAGTGGTTGGGACAGGACACAGAATGACACAACTTGCTGACTCCTGGAAACAATATCCAGAGGAGTTGGGGATGAGTCCACGTTCGTTGGCCTAAAAGCCGGCTGAGTCATGTCAAGGTCAAGTGTCCACAATCATGCTGTTGAGTCTAGACAGAGAAGAGCATTCTGAGGACAGCAGTTTACCCATACAAGGGAATACTGTCCACCAGTATAAATGAATACACTGGAGCTTCATACATCCAAGTAGATGGCCATGGAATAATCCAGAGAAGTCGGAGGAAAAACAGAGAATTAAAAAGCCAAGAAAAGATGTGATTCAAGGCACAAGTGGGGGAGTAGATCTTAGGGAGGAAAGGGAAATATTTCTTCCTCTGTATAGGAGGGAAATACATTTCTTTCTTGTAAAAATGAGATGAGGTCATTACCTGAGAAATTAGTATCAAGAAAGAAGATACAGTACTATTGACTATCAATTCTGAGTACCCATTTGAGATGAACAGTTATGGCTCTGATATGAGTAGAGTCAGCAAGCAGCTTGGAGGGATGAACCTCAAAAACATTCCAAGTGAACTAAAATATACACTAATTCAAATAAAATATCCAGAGTAGATAAATCCATAACCACAGAATGCAGACTGGTGGTTTCCAAAGGCTAGAAGTAGGCGGGAATAGGGAGAAATTGCTTCATGAGTAAGAAGGTTTACATGGTGTGAAGGAAATATTTTAGAACTAGAGAGAGGCAGTGGTTGCCCAACATCGTGAGTATACTCACTGCCACTGACTCATTCTTTTATGTGGCTAGTTTTGTTTATACACACACACACACACACACACACACACACACATACACACACACACACATGGGTCGTGTTGCCGAAGGAACAACTCTTGTACATGGGCCCAGCACGTGGTGTGGTGGTTAAAGTGCTGGACTCCCACACGACCAATTGCAGTTTGAGCCCCAGACCCAGCAGCTTGAAAAATCCAACTGGTCCATGCGCACGCATGCCCAAAATCCCAAAAGGAATATGGAAAAGAAGGGATTGTAGCATAGCCATCCCCTCAGGGGGTGATTTTTTTACTTTCCCTCTCTCTGTCTCTCTCCATGAGCATAAATACCAGATGGCAAAAGCCTACAAAAACAAAAAACAGTGCACAGGATGAGAAGGATTCACTAAGATTAGCTTCGGGTCCCACACCTGTCCCAGGGATGACGACCTTGTTAAGAATGCACTGTCATCCTAACAGAATGGGTGGTTTTGGTGTTGGGTCTTTATACTTCTAAATATGCGTTCAAATACTGCCTGCTCCTTTGCCATCTCATGTTTTACAAGTGAGACAACCCATTACTATTTTATTAAATGCATCAAATATTTTCCCTGTGGTTTTGAAGTTGAGCTTGTATTTGTAAGAATCCAAAGGTCAACTCAGAGAAAACTGATCAGGTTCCAGATATTTCTTGAGCAAGGTACCAGGAAATATAAGTAACACAGAACACAAACTTAGCCCTTAATAAGCTTATAATTCAAAAAAAAAGAAGGAAAAAAATTTCTTCTTCCAACTCCTCAGGAAAGGAGGAAGAAGAGGAGAAGAAAAAGAAAAGAAATAAATAAAAGGACCAAAGAGGAAGAGGTGGAAGATGTAGAGTAAAAGAGGAGGTCAGAAATAGCAGGTAGGTGGTAGGAGGTCAGAGGTATAGGTGGGAGGTAGAGAAGGAGGGAAGGGGAAGGAGGGGATAGGAAGGAAGAAGGAGAGAAAAGGAGGAGGAATCAGTAGCAGTAGAAGTAGCAGCTGGCACAAAACAGGTGGCTTGCAAGGATTTATACCACTGGGGGTTCTACCAGTGACTCAGCAGGGAGAGGGGTCAAGGTGTAGCAGATGGCCTGCAAAGCAGTGTTCACAACAGCCTTACAGCATGCAATCTAATCTGGCCAAAGAGAGAAGGAAAATAAATAGAAAGAAATAGTGAAGAAACACTCT